AAAAAAAAAAAAAAAAAAAAGACAAAAGTTTTTAAACAGAAGACAGCTATAATGTGGTTAATAATAATCGTACTTGACTTGCTAGAGTTTAGCATGGCTCAGCCTAGATGATTTTTTTTTTTTTTTTTACAGTACCAGGGATTGAATGCAGGACCTTCCCTTGCAAGGCAGGTATGGTGCCACTGAGCCAAATCCCTGGCCCTCAACCTAGATTTAACAGTCTAAGAATACCTCATGGGGACCATTATTATCTCTTGGTGTATTTCCCTGGAGCAAGTGGCAGCATCTGAAAACAATTCCCACAAGTCAGTACATCTGGTGTTCAGGGTGCTGTAGGTAGTGATGGTCATGGTCATCCTACCAACCTGGTCCAGAGCACTGGGGAAACAAGGCACCCAGGGAGGGGTGGGGACCTGGCATCTGCCACGCCCATTAGGGTGGAACTTGTCCTACACAGGTATGGACAGCAGGAGGCTGTCCCATTTGTTGACAGGTAGAGCACAGAACTTGGGGAGCAGAACAACCGATGGTAAGTAGTTATTTAGTAACTTAGGAGGCATCAGAGTTATCTGGGAAAACAAGAGGTGGACAGAGGGGAGCAACAGCTCAGGTTATGAACACCCTTGGTGTGGTTGGTGAGGGAACAGTCAGTTCCCCAGAAGTTAAAATGCTTGTGGGGCCTGGGACGTAGCTCAGTGGTGCTGCTGCCTGCCTCACAAGCGCAGGGTCCCAAGTTCAATCCCCGGTACCTCCCCAAAAAATGAAAATTAAAAAAATAAATAAGTAAAATGCTTCCAAATTATCGTAGTGGCCATAACATGCCGTCATTTGTCACTTTGCCAGGACTAGTATCTTAAACACACAGCACTCATAAACAAAGTGAATGAGTGAGACCCATTGTCCACCTCACCATAATTTTGTAGAGTTTTGGAGTACGGTTGGAAATTCAGGTAAGTTCCTTTGTAACTAAGAAATAACAACTGCCACAATGTGCTTTCTTCCCCTTTGGAACAGATAGCTGCTTTGATTTTTATTAAACTAAAATGAAATTCACTGAGAAAATGAAATGGCAGATTCAGCTGGTCTGGGATTGAAGGGAGGAACATCCTACATGTACTTTATACAAAAAAAGAAAAGAAGACAAGAAAGAAAGAAGGGAGGGAGGGAGGAAGAGAAAAAAGAAAAAAAAAGAAGAAGAAAAATGTAAAGAAAAGCCAGGTGTGGCGTACTGGCCTGTAATCCCAGTATTCTGGGAAGCTGAAACAGGACGATGGCAAGTTTGAGCCAGCCCGGGCAGCTTAGTAACGAAGTGAGACCGTCTCAGAAACAGAAACAAAACAAATAAAAAAGGAGGAGGAAGAGGAGGAGGCGGCGGCAGCTGTCTGATTATAGCAAAAAGCCCCAGAAATCTGAGGAAGAGTTAAACTTTAGCGAAAGTGGAAAGTGAGGTTAATATATGACATGAGACTCTGTATAAGAAGCAGGTGACTTTTTTATTCCAAAGCACAAGAGTCAGCTGTACCAACAATGTAGGGTGGAACAGGGCTTGGAAAAATGTCACACATGTCCTGTGCTGGTTAGAGGTCACAAATAAATCGTATGGGCTCTTCACAGAATCTGATATTACACTAATATGCTTTGAAAGCTTTTTAAGCATTTTACTAGAAGCCTTACAAGCACTGGGTTATTAATGGGAATCGTTAGGTGGAGCTCTAAAACGTATTTCCCAAGAGGCTTGCTGAGCCAGGAAGAAGACATTCTGACAATAAAAGAGCTGACACCTTTTTTCCATTTTCAGACATTACAGGAAAAGAGAGAGAAAGGGCAAGAAGAGTTGTCTGAATTTGAAAGCAAAACATAAAGAGGGAGACTATTGCACTTTGTGACCATTAATCCCGACATATGAACTTCATTGGATAAGAGATGGCTGGCAGATTGCTAGGGCTCATTGCTAGGTGTGTCTGGGTGGGCCGTGGAGGGATGGCCCTGGGGTCTATGGCTGGTCCAGTCGGTCCCTCCCTCTCTGGCACTGAGCCACCCTGAACTCAGCAGCTCTGCCCCCACCATGCACTTGCACCATCACGTTCCTTCCCTGGAGCCAGCTGATTCTGAACTCCTCAAACCAAAAGTTAAACCTTCCCTCCTTTAAACTGTGGGTGTCGGGCCGCGGATTTAGCTCAGTGCTTCCACCCCCTGCCTCGCAAGCACAAGGACGGGAGTTTGATCCCCAGTAACCCCCAAAATAATAATAATAATAAATTGTGGGTGTCAAGTATTCTGTCCCAACAATTAAAAGGCTAATATATATCTTTGCCTCCTTGGGTCTCTGCAGCCAAAAACATAGTATACAATCGCTCCACCTGTTCAGGAATTATTTTATATCTCTCAATGAAGTCTAGAAGGTTTACCCATAATTTTGTGTGCGTGTGTGTGGCAGTCCTGGGGATTAACCTAGGCCTCATATGTATAAGGCAAGCACTCTACCACTGAGATACATCTTCATCCCTTCCTCATTTTATTTTGGGACAGTGTCTCGCTAAATTGGCCAAGTTGGCCTTGAACTTGTAATCCTCCCGCCTCAGATTCCTAAGTAGCTGGGCTAACAGACATATGCCCAGCAGTAAATAAGATTTCTAAAATTAAAATTTCAAACTGCTATCCATATATAGAAACATTTTCTTTTTTCTTTTATCGGGGAGGCACTGGGGATCAAACTCAGAACCTTGCACTTTTGAGGCAGGCGGTGGCACCAGTGAGCTAAGTCCCCAGCCCTTTTTTTTCTTTTTTATAAGTATATTATGTTCAGAAACATTAATGAATTTCATGAGTTCGAAGGGTTTGTCCGAAAGGAACCTTGCACTTTTTATATTGTATATTGTCTTTTAAGTTTCACATGAAAGTTCTTTTTCCTTAGGTAAAAAAAAAATCCATACTAAGTAATATAAACCCAGGCCTAAAATACTCTGCATTAACTTTCTGTGATTTAATAACCAACATTTATTTACCTTTTCCGTGCCCAATATGTAACATTTTTATGTAGAAGTTAAATGAAGAAAACTCCCTATGAGTTAATGCTAACATTGTAAATCATATTAGTCCATGGAATGTTTTGCAGAGTGTTCCATCAGCCAAGAGATTTTCATATTATATACCACATTATTTTCTTGCAGATTCATAAAGGCTCTGAGAATTCCTGCAAAGAAACCCCTCAAACTTGGATCAACTCTGCATTCCAAACTTATTTCATCATCAAACTAGTGTTCAAGCAAAGCTATCTGGCTTCACGAGGAGCTTCTTTTTCCAAAAAACATACTTTGGGAATTAATGGCTTCATAAAATAAGTAATTAACAACAACAACAAAAAATAAGTAATTAACAAAACAAACTAGTTCACCCTAGGAGTTCCTCAAAGAATCCACTATCTTCTTTGCTGTATGGAAGATAAGCTTGGTAGAAGAAGAATCTACTCAGTCCTTTTGGGACAGGGTCACACTATGTAGTTGAGACTGACCTGGAACTCACAGTGATCCTCCTGCCTCAGCTTCCTGAGTGTTGGGATTACAGGCCCATGCCACTACGCCCTGCTGCTTGGCCTTGTCTGTTTCTATGGTTTACTGGTTTTGTTTTGGTTTGGTTGTTGATTGGTTGGTTGGTTTTTTGAGAAAGGGTCTGGCTTTGTATTTCAGGCTAAACTCACTGTGTAGCCCAGACTGGCCTCCAACTTGTGATGATCCTCCTGCCTCAGTTTCTCAAGTGCTGGGATTAGGGTTGTTTATGTTTTTGTTTGTTTATTTTGCTTGCTTTGCTTAAGGGGCTAAGGACTGAACCCAGGGCCTTGTGCCAGCTGAGCAAGTGCTCTACCACTGAGCTACATCTCTTGCCCAATGTGTAACATTTTTATGTAGAAGTTAAATGGAAAAAACTCCCTGTGAGTTAATGCCAACATTGTAAAAGAAAGAAAAATATACATATTAAATCTAGAGAACTTACCCAATACTTCTGGGAAAGGGCCCCAGCTGGTCACAGCAGGAGATGTCCTTGTAATTCCTGTCAATATCTTTTGACTAAGACAAAGATGACATTTTCTGTTGCTATTTCTCCTCTTGCGAAACCTCAGGGCCTAAGCTCTCCTGCCATGGTTTTCTTCT